TGACTGCTTCAGTTCCTTTAGCTCTGCTATATCCTTTCTATATTCTTCATATTGTTCATCTCTTATTTGATTGTTTTTGGATTTCCTTTTGGTTATTTTTCACTTTATCAGCAGTTTCCTTCATTGTTTCCATCATCTGTATTCTAAATTCCCTTTCTGTCATTTCTAACATTTCTTTATAGGTAGAATCCTCTGCAGTAGCTACCTCATGGTCCCTTGGGGGCAGGTGTTGCTCTGGACTGGTTTTTCATGTTTCCAGAATTTTTCTGCTGATTCTTCCTCATGAGTGTTTTCTTTTCTCTGTTTCCTTGCCCTAATTTTCCTTTCACGTCCTCTTTCTCTTTAAGTTACTGTGCCTCTGGCCTAGGATTTCGATGAGTCCTTTTGGTACGGGAATGAATATTGTCTGGGCAACAGGTGATTTTCTGGGATATGAGATGTTATTCATAATGCTGATGCAGCTACACAAGATGGAGACTGGAGGCCTCTGCTGACTTCTCAAACCCTGCAGGGTGGAGACCCTAAATCTCTCCTCAGCCCACTTAAAAGGCACTTTAAACTGTTAACTTTGGCTAACCAGAAGCTTTCCCAGGAAAGCACTTGTCACTGGGATCACTCATGAAGTGGCTGCCCGCTTACCCAGTGTGCCAAAACTGGTCTCACTCTATGCCCCTGAGAGTCAAGGCTGTAAGGCATCTTAGTCCCTGCTTTTAGGTTGCTCAGTCACTAGATTACTTGCCCAAGGTCTCCCGCCCAATCCTTGCTCTGTAACCCTGAGGGGGGAGCTTGCCAGGGAAGTTTTCCCACAATGGCTCTTTGCAGCCTGCAGCCGAACACTATTAGCTTCATCTGGTTCAGTGGCGCAATCTGGGGCCCTAGACAACACTTGAAGTCCTCCACACTCTCACCCAAGTTCTCCCAAGGTAGTTCAACTGAATGCCAAGTCAAAAAAGAAAACAAACAAAAAACAGCTCACAGGTAAGACCTTTCCAGTTTGCAATCTCATTGCTGCTGTACTGACAGCTGCTGGTAGGATTAGACTGAACGAACACACGCAACCACTTGCCAGTTCTCCACTGCTTTTGTCCTCCTCATGGGGTCCAGAAGTTTCTCAATGACTCCCTGTGTGTCCCCAGAGGGATGTTTCTGGGCAGATCCCACCAGCCAGAGGCCAACCTGACTTTGCCTGTTGTTAGTTCAAAACCTCAGTAGCTGATCTTATTGAGTATGATGCCCACGGTACTGCAGGATCTGGCAATGTTGTCATCTCCCACCACATTCCCAGTATCCTCAATCCCAGCCCTGGTACTCTTCTAGTCCTGCCAGATCACAAACTATTACCCAATAGGCCAGATTGCTCATGCTTGTGCTTTAGCATATGCAGTATTCTTTTGAATGCCTTTCTTTGCCTTATCCTACTTACCTTTTAAGCTTCATCTTAGGTCATCTCAGTCCGATAAGACCTTTTATGATGGCCTCGAACATAATAATTCCTTCATCTTCTGTGTTCCCAAAATACCTATCATAGAACATTATACATTGTGTTATACAATGTATACTATTTGTATACATGTATGCTATTTATCTTATACAGTAAGCCCATTAAAGGCTGGGTCCATGTATCTTTCTTGATAGACTACGAGTGTCCCATAATGTTTGTTATAGAAATGCATTAATATAAGATATTTGCAATGAGATTAGGCAGAAGAGTGGGCCTAGAACAGAGTAGGTATAAATAATTTAATTTAATAAAATGATAAATATATTTTAGCATCTATGACTGAAAATAAGTGCATATTCTCTTCTACTCTAGGTCTGAGAGGCTCTGTGTATGTTAGGACTCTTTTGGAGTCAGTTTCTGTTTTATAGCACAGACTCATTTTTCTGGATGCCAAAGCCTTAAGAAAATATTTTATAGAGATTAGAAAATGGAATAATTGGAACAAAAGCTTAGATATTGCCAGCCATTGGATGAATCACAAAACTGAGACCAACAAACATAGCTCTGGAAGGAGCTAGCAGGAAAATCAAGCTCACTTGTGTTTCAGTCATCAGCCTCTAGGTGGCCTTCGGTACAGCATCTCCAATCCTGCCTGATGACCAAAGCCGATGTGTGTAACAATCTCACAAATGATCAGAGAGGCAATGGTACATATAAATTGCTCACAGCAGGCTAACTAAAGCAAGTGTGCACATGTGTGTATTAGCAAGAACCTCCCCCCAAGCTGGAAGGCAGAAAACAAGTATGTGCCCTTTAGCAAATAGTTACTAATCTCTTTTTTCACTATCCCCATTTAAACAGTCAGAGGTTGGAACTAGATGGCAAGTATCTTTGCAGCTTTAACTAATCTCTTGAGTATTTACAAAATTTTCCATGTATCTTGAACAAAAACTCAATTCTCAAGCTATCCTGCAATATCCCACCAATCTGACCTTTATTCTTAAGGCATAAACAGAGATTCGTGACTCGAAGAACCAAACACAAAAGAAATGTTTTTCACTGAAAAACCCGATGCTTGTATTGGATACTGAAAAGACTCTATGAGAGTTTAATAAAGAAAATTGTGTTCCTTCTCTCCACTTATACTGCCTCTTATGAGTAATGCCAAGGGGAAATTACTTTATGTCAACCCAGCAGTTCTGAGGACATGAAGAATAAGACCACAACAAATAGATTATCAAGACAGAATGCAAAGGTAGTGATTTCTGATTAGGAGCAGAGCTGATTTATAATAACCTTTCTGTCTTCCTTTCCATCCACTTCTTGCCCATTCCACTTAAGCATAGAGCAGAGAGGAAAAATGAGATGTTTGTGGGGGCAGGGCGCTTCACAAGCTAAATTATGCTGTGTTCTCTTCTTTAGTTCTTCCACACATCCTAATTCTCTCTGGCCTTTTGTGTCATACTGTCTTCCTTTCTTGCCCTCTCTATCTCCCTCTACCTAGCTAGGACTTTCAATATCCCTTCAAGCTTTGTCTGCAATAGAAAGCACTCTGACTAATGTACACAGCTCCTGCCCTATGTCAATAGTTAGCTGTCTGTGTGTTATCTTTCTCTTTCTACAGCACTAGTCACTGTGAAGGCAGAAATTGTGTCTTGTGCCTCCGGTCCTTCCTAATTTTTTGGTATCAGCTCGTAACAACCTTATGCATAGAGAATGCTTGTGCAAAGGTGACCATAGATAATTAGAGCATCTTTTATATGACTTAAAGATTTCTGAGTAGCTGAGGAAACCTTTACTCTCTGGTGAATAGAAGATAGCTGGTGTAGGGAGAAGGGAACTGAGAAGGCCATGGTAAGCTTTCACGTAACAGGCATGATGTAGGCATTTGTGGCATACCTCCTAGGGGAGAGGCACAACTACAACTTGGACCTAACAAATACAAACAATGTAAGGTAATCATTTGTACCTTCATATTAATTAGAAAAAAAAAAGAAAGCTGGTATAGGAAGAACATTGGACTCTACTGAATTGTGTGACTCTGAGAAAATCACTGTAACTTTATGAGTTTTTGTCTCTGAAATAGGGATGGTAATAATGCCTGCAATACGTCCCTCAGAAAGTTACTATGGTGAGCAGATGGGGTAAAAAGTACCCTTCCTTTCAGGCAACCAGAGTCCTTACATCACAAATGTTAGGGGCAAGCCTGAATGTGCTTTAGAAATTGTAGCATGCTGAGAACATCTCATGGGTCATTAGCAATGATCATCATAATGATAACAATTAGATACTAAACCTCCTATGCCTTCCTAGATGTTTAGATGTCTGTAATTTGACAGTAATTGTTTTCTGGTGTCTCACTCTCATCAACTATGGAGAAACATTGTTAGGCCACAATATCCTGGGAGTGTCTTCTTGTTAAGGTCTTCCTTCCTGACATTGCTAGTAGCACTGGGGTTGGGGAGAGTGAGAAATGGAGATGCTACACAGGGGATTCTTTACAGGCAATTCCTTAGTTATTGCTTCAACAAGGCACTTCCCCATAAGACTTCTCTGGTACTTGCCTAGAAATCATATATATTCCTCTCAGCCTCATATATTGATGTTTGATTAAGCAGGAGTTCTAGTCCTAAGGAGGACTTGGGTCCTGAAATAGGTTAGGCAGAAGTATCTGTCTGAGGGAGGGAGCCACTGAAGGAATGAGTGACACTGTAATTTTTGATGTGTGGGTCCCCTTCTACACAGGGGGCTACCAGTGTAGGCCAAGGAAAGTTGATCCTCAAAAAATTTAAAAGAAATCAGAAAGGAAACTTTGGAATAAATTATTTGTGTGGGGGAATATGTGGACATGGTAAATCATTCCATTGAGGAATCCACGCACAATCTTTCCCACATGTTGCCTTTGTTGAGAAAGCTTGGTGAGCTTCTAATGTTCTCCTTTCCTTTTTTTTTTTTTTTGTTCAAAGTAGGCAGTTGCTGTGCATGCATGTGTGTGTGTGTGTGTGCGTGTGTGCTCACATACTTCTGTTCTCCAAGAACCCCCTCTTTCGACAAAACAACAGCAGTCCCTGTGAGCAGCAGAGTTGTCTTTTCCGTCTGTTCATTATAAGGATAAAGATATGCTTTCTACACATCTCTCCTCTCCACTGCAATCTTTAGATTGGTTAACTCACACAATAGCCTGCTGTGAAGAATTATTTCAGAAATAATTAAACTGTGATCAGGAGTGAATGAGTCAGAACCTGGTGTTTCCAGGCTTCTTAGGGGGTGGCTAAGGAAGTAGAGTTAGGGCAGATAATTTATTTTTGTTTTTCTAAAGGTGATAGGATAGGATTCAAATCTGATCTAAAAATGTGAATACCAGATGCTGCTTTGAGAGGCTATCTAGATCCTTTAATGCATCCCTTATGTTCATAAATATTTGAAATTCACTCAACCTAAACAAGCAAAGTCCCTGTTATTCTTAGGGTCACGCCCTTGTTGCTTAGTGGGAACTCAGCCCCGTGTTTAACAACATTTCATTTAGCTTAATTGCATTTTCTGTTCACTTTTCCTTTAGGTTAACAATTCACGCTGAGTGTCCCATGCATCTGGAAGATTTTCCCATGGATGTGCATGCCTGCCCGCTAAAATTTGGAAGCTGTATGTATTCTGTCATTTTATTTCTCCTGATCTTTCAAAAGAAACTTAACATATCCTATTGATTGTATATATTAGGAGTTTCTAAATATGAGGATTTTAATCTAGGCAGGTGTGGGAATGGGTCATAGGAGTGGGGTTGAATGGTACTAACTGATCAGGAGGAGACTTAGCTTTTAATAAAATTTTCTTTTTAAGGAGCAAACCTTATTTTACCATTTTAGACAAATTTTTTTCATCATTAGATTGAAACATCAACATCTATCTGTATCCTGAATTGCACAAAGGCCAGAACATGGAGTATAATAGTAGCAACTTCCTAAGGACAAGATATGTTTAACAGGATGTGTTTATTTTATTTTGTTTGAAAATATGTGTCCTAGCTGCCTCTTCACATACCTCTGTCCAATTCTCAACCGTAAATGGTAGGCAGGGAGAGAGTCCGAAGACTTGCTTATTTTTGAGAGTATTGCCTTTTGCATTAGTATAAATCTTACAGAGATAGTAGTAGATATATAGTCCATTTTCAAGTGAATTAGAAAAGTCAAAATTGAATAGAATTTGAGTGAGTTTTTAAATCTAAGAATTTGAGAGAACATTTCATTCTGGGAGTAATCAGAGTAATATTCCAAGATCTGTCTTAATCATGTCTAAATTGAATTTAGCTCTGTGTTTTAGAATGCAAAGTGCATTTGAAAAGATCCAAATAATTATGTTTAACATTTTTCAATCATTAGCTTATCAGATACAGAATGTCCCCAAAGTCACAATACAAAGGAAAAATGCAAAATTGCAGCTAAATGTACCTTTATTAACAAAATATTTACAAAATTCTACATTTTGGCCATTTCTTTCACATACATGAAATCTTCTGTCCCAGTCATTGTCAACATGTTCCAAGATATCTGTTGTCATTAAGTTTGCCTAGGTATGGAGACTTTCGGAACACCTTATATTTATAGATTATCTCCTGTGTGCCAGGCTCTATTCTAGGAGCTTGGAATTCATCCATGAATCAAACTAAAACCCTTGCCCTTGTAGAGCTTATATTATAGAGAGTAGATTGATAGTGAAAGGTAAAACAAACACTGACTGCAAAAGTAAAGTATACAGTATGTTGTAAAGTGAAAAATACATGGGAAAACATAGAAGTACTCTGGAATGAAGGGAACCCTCGACGCAAGCACTAGTCATACATAGATAGAGGGTATGATTTGCCATTGAAATTGAAACTAGGGTGGTCAAGATCATCCTAGTTTTTTTGAAAAAGTGCTATCTGAACAGAAATTTTAAGGAAGTAAAGGGGATAACAATGCAGATACCTGAGGAAATAGTACTTCGAGTAGAAGGAACAAATACGAAAAATACCTTAGGTCAGAGAATGATCTGGCTTGTTCAGAGAATGTCAAAATAGTAGATGTGGCTGGTGAGAATGAGAAAAAAGGAGAGCATAAGGAGAGGGTGAGACCAAAGCAGGAACCAGGCCAACTAGAGTCTTGTAGACCATTCAAGGGTTTTGAATTATATTCTAAGGGAAAATTAGATGAAGGGCCAAAGTGGAGAGCCCAGATAGGAGGTTATTGAAATATTTCAGGTGGGATAATGATGTTTCAGAACAGAGTGATAGCAATAAAGTGATGAGAAGTAGGATCACCTAATGGATTAAATGTAGCATTCTATAAAATGCAAGAACTGAATGGTGACTTAATATATTTTTGTCCTAATGAATTTGCTATTAAACAAGATGAGTATTCCTTCCATTCTGAGTAGGACAGAGTTTGTTGGTGAACAGGACTCCCTTTATGAACAAATGGAAAACCCAGAACTGCAGAAGCAAAAAGGACTGAAGAGACTAAAAATCTGGAGAAAGCAGAGAACCTCTCACAGGTGAACTTGTGACCTACAGCTATTTCATCCCTGGGGGCACTTGGCTATTCTGGTGGTGGAGTACAGCTTGGGTTTAAGTTTGGCTCCAGACATAGGGCTGATACTGGTCCATGCGGGGGGAACAGCAATGATTCTAATGGTCATACAAGAGTAGGGTGACAAAAGTAGAACTCTAACAGGTCTCATATTCTTAGCTGATATGCCCTCAGCATAATGGGTGAAGTTTGAATTTGCACAGAATATTAGGCCAAAAACTAATAAGATACGAGAAACTTGTAAAGCAGAGTTGCCTTTCCTGAAGTTTCCTGATGCTAAGAAAAAAAAAAAAAAAAAAAAAGACATGGCAGGCTATCAGTTTAAAACCCTAGAGAGCTATATCCTACTTACAAAGAAACAGCAGAGATAGAACACATTTAACCCAAACGATAACCCGACCTGCTCCTTTATGGAATTAAGGCAATAATTCTCTCACATTGTCTTCATAGCAAAGAAAGAATGAAGCCTCTGTGATGGAAGAGAGGCTTCTATTTGAAAATGCTGCAGTTTAATACACAATGTTTAGAATTCAATAAAAAGTTATTATGCATATGCATATGAACAGGCAGGACCATGAAACCTAAAACTAACTTTTAAAAACAAAACAAAAAATCCAAAATAGAGAAATAGACCTACGATGATCTCGATTATCAGGGTTAACAGACAAGTACTTAGAAAATCTATCGCTAATATATCCAAGAAAAATGATGAAAAGATAACTAGAGCAAATCAAAGATAGAGAATTTTAACAGAAAAATATAATCTAGAAAGGAGAATAAATTAAAAATTAGTTAAATAAAAGTACAATAGCTAAAATTCAGAATCCAATGGGTAGTTTGACAAGCAAAAGATTAGACATGAAAAATGGATAAACAGAAAATAGCAAAACTGAAGCACAGAAATACAAAATACAGAAAAGAATAAAAAGCATGTGTAATTTTGCAGAAGGAAAACAGGTAGAGAAAGTCACAAAAGAAATAGTTAAGTAGTCAAAGGGCAATCATTTAAAAAACTGATGACAATTATCAATCCAAAGACGCAAGAAGTCACATAAACACCAAGAGGGATAAATACAACGAAAGTAATGCTGATTCTAAAGTTTATATGGAAATGTTAAAGTGCAATGAATAGCTAAGACAGTCTTAAAGAAGAATAAAACTGGGAAATTTATAATCAAATCTATCAAATATCTGGACCTATGCTAAGGCTATAGTAGTTCAAAGTATTAGTTGCAAAGATAGACAAATATACTAATGGGACAGAATAGGAAGGCAAGATATATATATGCAATAATTTCAATATATATGTCCAATAATTTCAATCTTTACCTAGTCCTGCATGACCCTTAGAATCACTGCTGTTTTTTCCCCCTTGTGCACCAGTATCAGCCCTATGTCTGGAGCCAAACTTAAACCCAAGCTGTACTCCACCACCAGAATAGCCAAGTGCCCCCAGGGATGAAATAGCTGTAGGCCACAAGTTCATCTGTGAGAGGTTCTAGGCTTTCTCCAGATTTTTAGTCTCTTCAGTCCTTATTGCTCCTGCAGTTCTAGGTTTTCCATTTATTCATGGAGAGAGAGAGAGAGTGGTCTTGACTCTTACCTCACATCATAAACAAAAGCAAATTCAACATGGATTGCAGATCTAAATGTGAAAGAGTAAAAGGTAAAGCAGTAAAGCTTTTAGAAGAAAACATGAGAAAATATCTTCATGATCTTGGAAGAGGTAGAGATTGTTTAAACAGAATGTAGAATAGCACAACCCATAAAGGTGACTTGGTATATATTACAAATTAAGACATTTTCTTTATTAAAAGACCATTTTCTTTATTACAAGAGAGTGAAGAGGCAAACTACATGGTGGGAGAAAATATTTGCATTGTGTATACGTGACAAAAGACTCAAAGCCATGAATAGTATCAGATAATTCAATAAAAGCCAAAGCCTTTTTTGGAGGGCGGGGACAGACTCTCACTTTGTCACTCCCAGTAGAGTGCTCTGTCATCACAGCTCACAACAACCTCAGACTTGGGTTCAAGCCATCCTCTTGCTTCAGCCTCCTGAGTAGCTGGAATTACAGGCATCTGCCACAACGCCCAGCTATTTTTAGAAATGGGATCTCGCTGTTGTTCAGGCTGGTCTGGAACTTTTGAGCTTAAGTGATCTGCCCACCTCGGCCTCCCAGAGTGCTGGGATTACAATTGTGAGCCACCGTGCCTAGCCCTGGGCCAAAGTCTTGAATAGGCACCTCATAAAGCAGACTTGCCCAATGACACATAACACACACACACTCACATACACACATATAGTGACTGACTACATTAGCAGAGAAGCAGGGAAATGCAGATTAAAAGCCAAAGGCTACCACTACACACCTAGAATAGAATGACTAACATGAAAAAGAAATTACCACTTGTTGGCGAGGATGTGGAGCAAATCTGTGGTCTCACGAACTACTGATAAGAATGTAAGTTTGTACCAGGGTTTTGGAAAATTCTGTGTTGCTAATAATGCTAGAATGTAACATATGCATATTATATAACTTCGTATTTCTAGTCCTGAATGTATTTCCAAACAGAAATCATTGTTTATGCCCACCAAAAAGGCATATGAAGAATATAATAGACCCACACTGGAAACTATACTAATGTCCATCAGAATAGATTAACAATCTGTAGCATATTCACACAATGAAATACTACCTAACTGTGACAGTTATACTCAATAACATGGATGAGGTCATAAACACAAAATTGAGCAGAAGCTAAACACTTAGGCGTATATAGAATGTGATTACATTTATATTATACATAAAAACAGACAAAACTTATCTGTGGTGTTAGAAGTCTTTAATATCTTATCTATCATTGCCATTGGTTTTATTTCTTAATTCCTGACATACAATATTAACAAATGTGGTTGAGGAACAAGCAGTTGGAGTTCCTAGGAATTTTATAAAATAAATTTTATTCATAGAACATTTCAAGCTTCTTTATGTTCTTTACTCAAACTCACAGATATTTAACTATTTTAATCAGGGGTTCTCACACTTTTTAAACAGGGGGCCAGTTCACCGTCCCT